GTAGTGTGGGCCCAAAACTGGACACAGTACTCCAGATGAGGCCTCACCAATGTCGAATAGAGGGGAATGATCACGTCCCTTGATCTGCTGGCAATGCCCCTACTTATACATCCCGAAATGCCATTGGCCTTCTTGGCAACAACAGCACACTGCTGACTCATATCCAGCTTCTCGTCCACTGTAATCCCTAGGTCCTTTTCTGCAGAACTGCTGCCGAGCCATTTGGTCCCTAGTCTGCAGCGATGCATAGGGTTCTTCCGTCCTAAGTGCAGGACTCTGCACTTGTCCTTGTTGAACCTCATCAGATTTCTTTTGGCCCAATCCTCTAATTCGTCTAGGTCCCTCTGTATCCTATCCATACCCTCCAGCATATCTACCTCTCCTCCCAGTTTAGTGTCCTCTGCAAACTTGCTGAGGGTGCAATCCACGCCATCCTCCAGATCATTAATGAAGATATTGAACAAAACCGGCTCAAGAACCAACCCTTGGGGCACTCCACTTGATACCGGCTGCCAACTAGACATGGAGCCATTGATCACTACCCGTTGACATGCTTAACTTCAAGCACCTGCTTATGTCCCAATGACTTCAATGGGAATTTCTCCTGAATAAGGGTTACGTGTCCATCTGTCTGTGTTTTATTTTATACAGTGCAAGTAACAAATTGCAAAGATCTCTCCTAACCAAAGTTTGCATTATATAGAAAGCCAATTGCCATGTTGAGTTCACATCCAGAATGGGTAACAAATAGATCATTTTAGTCCTGTCAGCTATTTGTCTGCAAAACAGAACAGAAATGGGCAGGCTGCAATAAATGGGAAGAGTGCTGCAGATGTGGACGAGGGCAGGGGGTACATTAGCAGAGCTGTCTGGGAAAGCTTGCAGTGCTCCAGAGTATGTTGTCCTCGCTCACACCTTTTCCAGACATTGCTTTCAGAGTCCATCATAGGCACTGACAGTCACCTGGTATTAAATCATGCCTCTTGTTAATTTTTCCACCCCTAAAAGGTTTTCCTCAAACAAATCAGCACATGTGAAATCACACTGTGTAGTGGAAGGTCCCCAGCTGTGCAACTCTCTCATTCTGGCAATCTGTTAATCTATGTAATGTGTCCACACGTTACTTGGATAGATATACAAAAATAAATATATTACCTGGGACTAGAGTGTTGAAAGCAAACCCTGTCATCTGAGAGCTAGACTGACCAAGTAAAAACAGTCTGACCTTCTCAACCGCTTGCTGCTTGTGTCAAAAACACAACTGCATCTTGAGCACATTGTCTAATAACTTGTACATATTCTATTGTTTGCTGAATATAATTAGCTTTTACAAAATAATAAATGTTTGACCAACATAATGACTTAGCCGTAATTAAATTCAGAACCCGTTTGTGCAGTTTTTGTAAAGAGATGCAATAATTTTAGAGTATTGTTAGCCTATTTCAACCACTTCCTAGCAAACAGCCCATTAGTGGTTTTCTAGCACTGCTAATAATATGAGAATTACAATGGGTAGCTTTAGCTGTCTGAGGCACCCAGCCTCGCCTTGAAAGTTCTTCAGAATTGGAGAAGTCACCTATAGACTGATTTTCAGTCATCTTTGGTGGTACTGCAATGTATTTGTACACCAGGGACATCTTTAAATTGGTTAACCCCAAACAATAGCATATTTGCAATTAGTATTACAGTATTCAGGCTGTAAACCTAGCTTGCCCTCCTCCAACACACACACACACACACACACACAGCATTACCTTGATCACTCAAGTTTACAGAACCTTATGTTACAGAGAGATCACTGGAGTGTTAGTTCAGATAAGCATTTCATTTTTTTTTTTTTTGTAGCTCAGAGAATGCAGTTTACTTGAAAATTCCTGTAAAAGTTTTTCTTTTTCTGAACAGTTCTTGTATACTGGTGTTTTTTTTTCTGTGAAAGTGAGAAAAGGAGCATATTTTAATGTGTAAAATGGAAAGAGGTCTTGTTTTTTACACTCAGGATATCTACTCAGGATGCAAATGAACTTTCTGTACAGTTTGAATTCTGGTTCGGAAAGAGGTATCTACTTGTATCATATGAAGTGAAACAAAGATAGACATATCTTTCCTTGGGCAAAACTCCCATTGAAGTTAGTGGGTGAGTATGGATAGCAGCACAGAACTGAAGACTTTATTTAATTTTTACTGGTTTCATATTTTTTGGATTTTGCCTGTTTTATTCCATTGTATATTATAAGCTGCTGTCCCATGTGTGAGCTGAGGAAATGCTTATTTGGGTGAGGAAATCCTAATAAATGAAGCTGCCATCATCATCACTATTATTATTGCGCCATGACAATGTAACAAAGCAGAACTAGAAGACCAAAGCACTGAGTCATGAACTAATCTTCTACATTTTAGATAAGATATTTCTGTTAAAGTTGATACCAAAGTACAGTCTGCTTCATGCGGCCATTTCCTTTGTTTTGCAGGTTGCTTTGTCGATCTCACAAACAAAACCAAATAGCAAAGTAATATTTTTCCCCTAGCTGTATGTTGGCCTTTGTAACTTTCTGACAAATGAAATCTCAGCCAGCATGGGCTACTGAAAGAGGCTATTCCCAGCTCCTTTGTAAGGAATTCATGTATTCAGAAACTCTGAGAACTTCTGAAAAATGAACAGCAAGGAAAGCGCTCCAGGGAGCTCTAGTTCAAAAACTGAAAAATAATTTGGGACTTGTACTGACAAGTACCCACCAAATTCTTCACATCATAAATAATAAGAATCTCCATGGCTACTACACATCCAATGGGAAATGCATCTTCCCCCATTAATACAATAACCCTCACTAAATAGTCTTGCCCTTTACAGAAGAAAATAGGCCACTGAGAGGGAAGGGAGCTGGATAACTGGGCTCTCGTCTCTTTCAAGAGGGAAGCCATTAAGAATAGAATCCATGTATTTTCTGATTCACAACTCAGCCCAACAGGTATAAAGTTGACACAGTCCCTCAGGTTAAACCCTTAGTCCCCCATCAACTGAAACTACATAGAGCCCACTTATTTTTCCAGGCCAAGAATGAATTCTGATCTGTAGTAGTAAACTGAAATGCTCATAAACTTTATAAAATCAGAGGCCTGCAATGAAACATGGATGCTCAAACTCTTCTAAAAGCTCTTGCTGATATAGATAAAATGCTATGTAAGATACAATGCATTCATTTTGGCTAATTAGTTAATTATATAGACCGCCATCCACACAAGGTATCACAGAATGTTCCCCAGCCAAATCATCTGTCTATGCACATTCATGGAAGATTTGTAGGATATAATATAACACACAGGTAAGATCTGTAGAGATGGTGGGAAAGAGAGGGAAAAAAGAATATGAAAGCCAAACTTCAGGAAAAATGATAGAGCTTGGGGAAACTGTCAGAGTTAGAACATAGGATCAGTTAAATTTGTCCCTGGCTCCGCCACTGGCCTAGTGGCTCACCTTGGGCAAGTCACTTTGCCTCTCGGTGACTCTGTTTCCCCATCTGTAAAATGGGGGTGATGATACTGATCCTTTGTAAATTGCTTTGAGAGCTGCGGCTTGAAAACTTTCTATGTAAGAGCCCATTATTATTGCTATTTGTTATTAGCGTGAGGACTTGGTGTCATCTTCAGCCAGAGAAGAGAGATGGGGCTTTCTCATGGGATTTGAAGAGCATCTCATGAGATTAATTAGGTGCAGAGAGGGAGTGGAGCTAATGCAGATGATAGTGGAAGCATAGGGAAAGATTTACCTCCCAGCCACAATAAAGAGAAAGTGAGTGGGGACAGTTTGGCATTTCTCCTCAGAGGAAGAATTCTGTGACCTTAGGGGGAGTGATTCCACCTCTCTGTGCCTTAGTGTTTTCTCTCCATCCTTTGTCTGTTTAGAATGTAAGTTCTTCAGGGCATGGACTATCTCCCACTGTTTGTACAGTGCCTAGCGCAATGAAGCCTTATTTTGGTTGGGGCCTGTAGGCCCTACCATAATACACATAATTCTAGTAACAACAATAAAACATATTCAGAAGTAAACTAGGATGAGATTGACTTATTTATGCGCCGTAATGGAAGGACACTAAAGAAAACTAATAGCTGCATACTGGGAAGCATGTGAGAAGGAACATCAGCTCACACTTTCTGGTGCAATGAAAAGGCTTGCAGACGCCCTGAGACTAGAGCTACGCAAATAACAGATTTTTCAGTTTGCTGGCAATTCTAACAAATCAAAAAATTAAAATGGTTTCCGGTCAAGCTGCAAACAGTTTTCTTTTTTTCAAAATGTTCAGTGAATCAAAAAGTAAAACAAATCTTTTGGGTGAAATAGAAGGTTTCATTTCATTTTCAAGCTTTTCTTACATTTTTAATTTAAAAAAAAATGAAAGGAAATTTGGAAACAAAATATCATTTGAAATAGAAAAATCTAAATGTTTTGTTTCAAAAATGATAAAGCAAACATGTTTTGATATTATGCAGAGGTTAGGGGGGTTTTTTTAGGGTTTTTTCAATCAAAACGATTTGGTGAATTTAGCACAAAATTGCAAAATAATTTGGTGTCACTGAAGCTGCATTTTTCGCCGAAAAAAGTTTTGGTAGAAAAATTTCGCCCACCTCTACATTAGATATGACATTTAGATTGACAGGCTGTGCATTATCTGGGTCTAGAGTCGCTGAGAGGCATCCTTGCTAATTATCACAATTAAGCGGGTTTGGCATTTATCGGAGAAATGACTGAGTATGTTCTACTGTAGTTCTAATGATAGACAAGTGTCATCCAACAAATATCCCAAACCTGATGTGTGCCAGTGGTAATATTATAAAGGTTTCATGGGAGTACTTCCCAGACTAATGGATAGTTGCAATGGAACAAAAACTAAACATCTGCCCTTCTCTTCATGTATTTCTGAGAAACCATCATTCGTTTTTATGTACCTGTTTATGGAACATCCACTCCCACTTTTACCAGTGTCACCCTACTGTCTCCTCTTCAGGCCTTGCGATGAGCAACACCCGGAAGTGAAGGCAGATGGATACGTGAACAACCTCGCAGAAGCAGTGGACATTATTGTGAAACAGCTGCACAAGTGATCGTGCTGTAGAAGATACTGATTTAAAGGCACAAAGAAGTTGGACTTGACATCTGAAGCTTAGCATACAGCTCACACACCAGGCTACCTCTTCCCCCGTTTAATTCATTTCCCTCTCTTCACCTAATTTCTACACATATGCAAGTAACCATAGGCAACCAGTAATGCTAATAGTTTGTTGTTAACTGCCTGATTTTCAAAGCGTCTCATTTCTAGGTACTAAAATGAAATGCCTTAATGATAAAAACATTAAACCTAACAGGTGCTTATGACTTCCGTGAATCGTCTGGTTTTCTAGCACCCGCCCATTCCCTTGAGTGCCATGTAGCCATGCAGGAGGAAGAACAGATAAAATTAGCTGACATGAGTGGGTGTTGCACCACTTGGGCCAGACTCTGTCCCTACCTAGGGAGCAGCGGGTTGCCCCAACATGTGGGGAATCCCCAGGCAGCATAGGTCAGGCTCTAGGCTGCCCCTTTTTGTAGATGAGTGCAGAACTTTGTGTGTAAGATGCGTGCGCACACCAGTCCCAAGGTGAAGTTTTGGGGGAACCCCCTCATCTTGTAATGACATCCTTGATTTCCTCCTGGCTGGGTGTAACCATCTGCTCCGAATAGCATCTTGTTCGAGATTTCTCAGCCTAGTGTGTGGGGGGCTTTGAAGCTGCTCAGGGCAGCAGTCGGGGCCTGCTATCGGTGAGATTTTCAGAAACGCGCAGCACTGGCCCAACTCCACTCCAACTGAAGTCAAAGTACAAGATCTAGGGGCCACTTAAGTCCTGCTTCGCATGGGTGTCCCACATTTGAACTGTCATCATCTCGTCGCATTGTTTTAGTCTTCAACTGCTAAAAATAGCCTCCGATACTTAGATGTTATTTTATGGCTGCTGGATGCCAGGCTTAATGATCTGGTGTTCAGTTCCCAGATTTAAAAAGCCAAGTAATGACTTTGCCCTGCATTGCTATTGCTTGGAAATCTTACTTGTAACAGGAAGAGGGCAGTGAAATCATCTGTGAATTAAATAGCACGCTGCTGCCTACATTAACTGCTTTATATTTTGCCCTTGTGGTTTTCAGCCTTTACTAATCATTGAAGCAAATTAAATCTTGTGAATATGCTAGGACTAGTCCTGCAAGGTGCTGAGCACCCTCAGCTCTTGTTGAGGCCAGTGGGAGATTAGAGCACCCAGAACCTTGTGGGATTAGACCCTGATACATACCACCTAAACACATGGGGCCGAAGTTACCCCTGGGTGCAGTGCCATGGACTTCACAGAAGCTACATCAGGGCTGAATTCGGCCCAAAAAATTAATGCCTAGGTAAAATGAACTCTCACATCAAAAACCCTTGTGGTTACAGAGGAGAAAAATGCTTCATAAAGTAACAACAGGAAAAGGTGTGTGCTATAGAAAGAGATCAGACTGTGTCTGTGAATAGAGTGGGGAAGAGGGAAGGAGACATCACTCCTCATTGCATGGTCTGTATAAGGGACAACCACAATTACAATCTCTGTGCTCCACTGGCACCATCAGGGACACAGTCCAGCTAAGGGGGATGAGGCAGGACTAGAGTCATGTCACGGCCCCCTGCATCTGTCTCCAGAGTGGAACCAGTGCACCAGGAGAGTATTCTGCACCTGCTGCAGACTGTAAAAGCAGGTGCTCTCCTCCTGTGTGCCAGGGAACTCAGGGCAGGATGCCTCCCCGGCTCAGCCTCTGGGGCCAGGTGGCTCTCCTTCATCTGGGCTGGTGCATCTTGCACAGCCTAGCCCAGGGTTAGTGTGACATCTCTCTGGGTTCTCACTGCCCAAGATTGTGATGATGTCATTGTGGAAAGGATGATAAGGGAATTTTCCCATGTCTGGCAGTTTATTCGGGTTTCATGTTCACATTTCCCCCTTTTATGTGTTTGTCAAACCTTTAATTGCATTTTTCTACATATTGACAGTTGTCTGGGGCTGAAATGGTTTAGATTCTGGAGATAAGTACAGTTATTACAAATTGAGGAATAACATGATTGACATGAAGAAAAGGAGTACTTGTGGCACCTTAGAGACTAACCAATTTATTTGAGCATGAGCTTTCGTGAGCTACAGCTCACTTCATCGAAGTGAGCTGTAGCTCACGAAAGCTCATGCTCAAATAAATTGGTTAGTCTCTAAGGTCCCACAAGTACTCCTTTTCTTTTTGCGAATACAGACTAACACGGCTGTTCCTCTGAAACCTGTCATGATTGACATGGGGTCTTTTGGTGGCCGTCTTCATTAGAGAACTGACTTACCGAATTAATAAACCCAAGTACTGTGATTCTGACTCTTTTGTTGTTTTCAGCCAACCAAGTCGTCCTTTATGCCCCTCCGACAGTTTCTTAGAGATTCAGGAACACGTGTTTCTAAGAATAGGATTAAAGGAAGAGCTCATATGTGGTGCATTCCCAACTACCTGCGCCTGCAAACTTAAGTTCATTAAAGGGCCCTGCACACCACGTTACATAGGTGATTCACTGCTGATGCCAGTGGTAGTCTGAATTCACTGGATGCCAGGATGATACTGTTATAGAGATAATGTGGAAAAAATGCAACAGAACATCTTTGGCAAAGATAAGGACGGGAAACACACTTCAGTAGAAGTCTTGAAGCATCAAAGTTCCTGTATACAAATAGCTCGAGGCAAATAAGAAAATGAACAGCTGTTTTACTACCTGTCAAACTGGGTGTAAAGGGCTGCCAAAAAGGACAAATTAACAGAAAGAAAATATAAGATCCTCGTCCTATCATTCCAGTAACTGCAAGTGAGAACATTGTTGTATTTGGTCACATCACACTGATTGTTTCCACTCACAGTCATTTATGGGGAGGTTTTTTTCAAAGGTACAAAGCATGTGCTATGGGAGGGAATGTGGCTTAGTGGCTAGCGCACTGGGCTGGGACTCAGGAGAGGATGTTACAAAGGCAGGAAACGTTAAGTGAACTTTACGGATGTGGAGGCAGAGGCACAGAGGGGTTAAGTGGTTTGCCCAACGTCACACAGAGTCAGGAGCAAAACTGGGAATAGAACCCAGGACTCTTAGTCTAGTTCCGCTGTGCTAACTAGGAACTAGACCACACTAGGCCACACTGTCTCCCTTAAGCCCACATACATGGGTTCTAACAGTGGATTCTCCTCTCTTTTCTCTTTACAGAGTGTTAAAGTCTCCCCAAGATCATTTCCCAGGGGAAAATTTGGGGGTTGAGAGGGGTCATCAGGATTTTGAGGCTTGCTTCTTTTACTGAAGAACTTGCAACCCAGTGTTAACATGACTGGTCCCTGAGAATGGGGTGGGAATTTTTTCTACCAGTCCTTATCAGACAGACAACTTGGGGTAAAATGAGTAAAAGCAAGTGAAGGCAATGAAGGAAATTATGAGTTAAAGAAAAAGCTAAGAGAGGGTTAAAAAATGTACACAGACTAGTGCTGGCATTTTCAATAGTAAAGCATGGTTTCAAAGCATTTCCTTTCAGCTTAGATCCACACCAAGAGAGTTTCAAACTCAAGCTTATAAGAGAGGGGAGAAAATGTTGGGGTGAAAGAGCTAAAGGGAAAATGCCCTAAGTTAAGAACATATGGTTTGTAGTGTGGGATTTCCCTTCCTGTCAAAATATCCTTTGCTGGTAATGTGAAAGGGGACAAGAGACCTACCAGAGAGATCTCTGCTAACAGGAGAATAGAAGGTCTCCAGAAAGCCCTGGCTACTAAAAGATAGTGGTCAGAGAAGTTAACTCAACTGTGATCAAAACTGTCCTTGTTACCAGAGGACCCAGTCCCTTTAGGGAGGGGGCCAGAGAGGAAATTTACTGTTGTGTGTCTGCTGGTTAAACAAATGCTATTGGCCTGTAGTTTTATGGAAACTCTTCCATTCCTTAGGGAGAGGGTTCTAGGGTTATACGGATACACAGAGCTGGGAGGGGAAATTTATTTCCCATTTCCCTCTAGATAAAGCAGTACTGGCCACATTAAAATGCTTGCTGCCTCTTTTCTTCAAGAATGTGCTCGTGAGAGCAGTTTAGGTGAGATCAAAAAGAGCTGGAAGTGGAAGTCAGGAGAGTCTTGTCTCCCCTAAAAGTACAGATAGTATCTCCCAACAGCAAGTGACAGGCATGGCGTCACTCACAGATCTATTATAAAGCATCCTTGGGTATTGTCTATAAAAGATCAGTCCCTTAGGAACTCAACTGAAGGGCCTGTGAACTGCCCCTTTAAAAAAGCTGCAACCAGCCAACTAGACAGAAACCCTAATCAGTCTGTCAGTGACCCAGCTGTGAATGAGTGGGTGCAGTCAAGGACAGGAGCTTTCAGGTGCATAAGAAGCTGCACTCAGGAAATTGTGGGCCTTTTTATGGGGCAGGGAGTGTTTAGTACTGGGGGAGACAGGGCTGTTCTGCTACCCTATGGCAAATTCCTTACCTGGCCTATTATTTACAGACACTCCTCCCTTTTGGTGCAAGATAAGATTTTGTGGCATAATTTCCCAAGAGTAGTGGTAGAAACCTCATTGCTCGGGACATTTAAAACTAGCCTAGACAAACCACTAGTAAATCTGCTCCTTGGAGTGTTATGCACTGCTAAATGGGAAAGGACTGTCTGATGTAACAGGTCTCTTCTAGCTCCAATTTCTATAAGCTCTTCATAGAACACACAATATGATGCTTTAGCCAGCTGTACACACAGTGCAGCAATGTTATCTAAAGTTCTTATAAGAACCTTAATAATGCACCAGAAAAGAACCTAGTGGTCAGTGGGGAGGCTTTTTACAGCAATGGGGGGATAAGCAGAAGGTTGGGAGTCAGGTCATCCCCTTGAGAGCTAATCTGAGGTCTCCCACTGACTTTGTTTGGCATTGGACAAGTCACTTCACTTTTCTGTGTCAGTTTCATTATCTATCAAAACCAGAGTAACACGTAAGTACCTGCCTGCCGGGATGTTGTGAGGGTTAAGGAGTAGACAAAGCACTAGAAAAATGCTAACTCCTATGCTGAATTACCCACATTGTCTATATTAACTAAAGTGGTTTGACCAAATACAACTTAGTGCTAAAATGCTGCGCCACAATCTCTTCTCCACACTAGTCCCAGACCCTGTCATGAATGTCCAGGCCCTCCTTTGCCATATTGGAGAAGGTGACAAACAACAGAAGAATGAGTGAAAATAGTTAGAAAACTCTTGAGAGCCACCAAACTTAGCACAGTATTGTACAAATACATGTTCAGAGGCAGTGGAATGACACAGCTATTATA